CCAACCCGTGCCCATCCATGCCAATCCGTGCCAATCCGTGCCAATCCGTGCCCATCCATGCCAATCCGTGCCAATCCGTGCCGTGCGGGGGGAGGCTCCCTGGCCGTGCCGTGCTGTGCCACTCTCTTGCCAAGCTGTGCCGTTCTGTGCCGTGCCAGCCCCGCTGTGCCGTTCCGTGCCGTTCCCGGCTGTGCCGTTCCTGGCTGTGCCGTTCCGTTCCGTTCCGTTCCGTTCGGTTCCGTTCCGTTCGGTTCCGTTCCGTGCCCCCTGACGCCCCCGCGCCCCCCGCAGCCCCCCCGGGCCATGGCGGGCCCCGAGCTCCGCCGGTGCCGCCGCCGCCTCTCCGGGACCCTGCAGGTGCCCCCCGAGCCCCCGCGCCCCTCCTCGCTGCCCCTGCGGGCCCCGGGCCGCCCCCGCAGGTACCGGGACACCGGGAGTGGGGGGGGGACACGGGGGGGGGACACACGGGGGGTGCCGGTGCCGAGCCCGGGGGAGCTCCGGCCATGCTGGGAGGGGTCCCTTGGCTGGGGAGGGGGGGACAGACATAGGGACAGACAGACATGGGGACAGACAGACAGACAGACATGGGGACAGACAGACAGACATGGGGACAGACATGGAGACAGACAGACATGGGGACAGAGAGACAGACATGGGGACGGACAGACAGACAGACAGACATGGGGACAGACATGGGGACAGACAGACATGGGGACAGAGAGACAGACATGGGGACGGACAGACAGACAGACAGACATGGGGACAGACAGACAGACAGACAGACATGGGGACAGACATGGGGACAGACATGGGGACAGACAGACAGACATGGGGACAGACAGACATGGGGACAGACAGACAGACATGGGGACAGACAGACATGGGGACAGACAGACAGACAGACATGGGGACAGACATGGGGACAGTGGCCGGACGCGGCCCGGGGTGGGGACGGTGCCCCCCGAGCATCCCCACAGCCCCGTCATGGAAACGGGGGGGGGGGGGGGGACGGGAACACCCCCAAACCGGGGTCTGTGCAGGGGGGAAAGGGGGGGACCCCCAGCCTGGACCCCCACCCTGGACCCCCAGATCCGCAGTTCTGGGGGTCTGTGCTGGGCTGGGTCTGGGGGCTCCCTGCGCCCCCCCCAAACCCAGTTTGGGTGCTGGGGGGCACGAGGGGGGTCCCCTCGGCTGGGGGGGAATCCCTTAATTGGGGAGGAATCCCTTAATGAGGGGGGATCCCTTAATTGGGGGAGAATGCCTTAATTAGGGGGAAATCCCTTAATGAGGGGGGATCCCTTAATGAGGGGTAATCCCTTAATTGGGGGGGGATCCCTTAATGAGGGGGGAATCCCCGGTTACCGGGGCGGGGGGGGATCCCCGTGTTGGAATAGCGTGGGGGGGGATCCCCGGTTACCGGGGGGGGGGGGGATTCCCCGTGCTGGAACAGCGTGGGGGGGGGGATCCCCGGTTACCGGGGGGGCGGCGCCGCCGAGTCCCTGCGGGGGGGGGTCCGCGGGGTCCCGGGGCGGGGGCCGTTCCGGGACCGGGGGAGGTCCCGGGGCGGGGGGAGGCGCCGAGCGGGGCGCGGGGGCGGCACCGGCGGCGGCACCGGCGGCGGCGCCGGAGGCACCGGGAGGTTTCTTCCCGGCTCTTTCCAACCGGTTGCGCGGGGCCATGCGGAGCCCGGAACCGGGAGGAGCCGCTGCCGGTACCGGGGATCGCTGAGGAGGGACCCCGGAACCGGCACCGGGGTGGCGGCGGTGCCGGTACCGGCGGCGTTCCGGGTGCCCGGCTCCTCCCGGCGGCGGCGATGATGGAGCCGGTACCGGGCTCCGGGAAGAGCCTCTCGCTGTCGCTGCCGGTGCCCCGGGAGGGCCCGGGCCCCTGCGCCCCCCGCAGCACCTCTGGCGCCAGCCCCGCACCCCGATCCGCATCCGCCACCGCGGCTTCTCCGACACCGACCGGCACCGGCCCCGGCCCATGGAGCGGGCGGATGCCGTGGACACCGGGGACCGGCCCGGGCTGCGCAGCGCCCGCATGTCCTGGCCCTCCTCCCTCCACGGCACCCCCGGCACCGGCAAGCGGTAGGTGACGGCGGCGAGACCCCCGGGACCCCCCGGTGCCATCCCGGTACCGGTACCGGGGGTGGGAGCTCACCCGGTGCCATCCCGGTACCGGTACCGGGGGTGGGAGCTCACCCGGTGCCATCCCGGTACCGGTACCGGGGGTGGGAGCTCACCCGGTGCCATCCCGGTACCGGTACCGGGGGTGGGAGCTCACCCGGTGCCATTCCCGGTACCGGTACCGGGGGTGGGGGCTCACCCGGTGCCATCCCGGTACCGGTACCGGGAGCCCCTCAGCGTCCTCTTGGGACCGAGATTGGAGGCGCGACCCCTCCCCCGGTATCCTCCCGGTACCGGGATCAGAGCTGGGACCACCCCCAAACCCCGTACCGGTACCGGTACCGGGAGCCCCCATCCTCATCCCAATACCGGTACCGGGAGCCCCCATCCTCATCCCAATACCGGTACCGGGAGCGCCGATCCTCATCCCGGTACCGGTACCGGGAGTCCTCATCCTCATCCCAATACCGGTACCGGGAGTCCCCATCCTCATTCCGGTACCGGTACCGGGAGTCCCCATCCTCATCCCGGTACCGGTACCGGGAGCCCCCCCGCATCCTCCCGGTACCGGAGAGGCACTCGGGGGTACCGGGGATCCCCGTCCCCGCCTCCTCCCGGTGGGACCCCCGGGATCCCGGTACCGGCCCCGGGCGCTGCGGGGACCCCGGAGATTTTGGGGGGGGGGTTTCCGCCCCCGGGTCCATCTGGCCCCGTTCCGGTTCCCGTTCCCGTTCCCGTTCCCGGCGGGGAAGTTTTTTTCAGTTTTTTTTTCGGGGAAAACAACTTGGGGAGACGGCGCCGCCATGCGCCGGGAGCTCCGCGTCCTTCCGCCGCCCCGGCCTCATTAGCGCCGTTAATTTATGCACAGGAGGCTCGGCAGATGGTCGGGACTGCGAGAGCGGCTGCTGCTGCTGGGGGGGGGGGGGTGATTTCCTTCCTCCTCCTCCTCCTCATCCTCCCTTCCCCGCGGCTGCCGAGGGCGCTGGGGGGCGGCAGGGCCGGGATCCCCCCGGTGAGAGCCCCCCCGAACGCGGGGGTCGGGGTGCGGGACCCCCGGAGCCGCCGCTGCCCCGCGACCCCCCGCCCGCTCTGCCCGGGGCCGCCGGAATTTCCCTGCCCGGGGCCGAACGGGGCCGGAGGCGGCGGCGATTCCGGGCGGGATCGGCCCCGGGCCGCAGCCGTGCCGGGATCCGGGCGGGATCCGGATGGGATCCGGATGGGATCCGGATGGGATCCAGCTGCCGCCGGCTCCAGGAGGCTTTTCCCGGCTCCCGGAGGCTTTTCCCGGCCCCCGGAGGCTTTCCCCGGCTCCTGGTGGCTCTTCCCAGCCCTTTCCCAGCTCCCGGAGGCTCTTCCCATCTCCTGGAAGCTTTTCCCATCTCCTGGAAGCTCTTCCCAGCTCCTGGAAGCTTTTCCCAGCTCCCGGAGGCTTTTCCCAGCTCCTGGAGGCTTTCCCCAGTTCCTGGAAGCCGTTATCAGTTCCCAGAGGCTGCTCACAGCTCCTGGAACCTTTTCCAAGCTCCTGGAACATTTTCCTGGCTCCTGGAGCCGTTTCCCAGCTCCCAGAGGCCATTCCCAGTTCTCAGAGGCTGCTCACAGCTCCTGAAGCCTTTTCCCAGCTCCTGGAATCTTTTCCCAGCTCCTGGAACATTTTCCCAGCTCCTGGAACATTTTCCCAGCTCCTGGAGCCTTTTCCCAGCTCCCGAAGCCTTTTCCCGGCTCCTGGAAGCTTTTCCCAGCTCCTGGAGCCTTTTCCCAGCTCCTGGAACATTTTCCCAGCTCCTGGAACCTTTTCCCAGCTCCTGGAGCCTTTCCCCAGCTCCTGAAGCCTTTCCCCAGCTCCTGGAACATTTTCCCAGCTCCTGGAACCTTTTCCCAGCTCCCGGAGCCCTTTCCCGGCTCCCGGAACCTTTTCCCAGCTCCTGGAGCCCTTTCCCGGCTCCCGGAGCCTTTTCCCGGCTCCTGAAGCCTTTTCCCGGCTCCCGGAGCCCTTTCCCGGCTCCTAGTGGCTGTTTTTGGCTCCTGGAGCCTTTCCCCATCTCCCAGAGGCTGCTCCCACCTCCTGGCAGCGGTTCCCAGCCTCTGGAGCCCGTTTCTCCCGCAGCCCCGGGGATTCTCCCGTTCTTCCCCCTGCCCCCGCTCCGTTCCCGGTGTTCCGGGGTTCCGGGCGCTCCGGGCTCGGCTCGGGGCGGGGATGAGTCACCCGTGGCCGCCGGGGATGAATCACGGCCGGGCCGGGCCGGGTCCCGCGGCCCCGGGGCTGGGGGGGCTCGGGGGGGTCCCACCGGGAAATGCCCCGGGCGCCGCCCCCCTCCCGGTGTCCCCCTCGTCCTCCTCCTCATCCTCATCCTCATCTTCCTCACTCCCATCTC